AATACACAGCAAAAATTATATGTAAATATAAAAGTATATATATACACAGAAATTATATATAAACAGAAATGATTGATTCATATATATATATATATATATATATATATATATATATATATATATATATATATATATATATATATATATAAAACAAAGTGTTTGATTCGTACCTGGAAATTTCCAGCATAATCCTCCTCTTGGTCACCATTGTGCCCTTCCTTCAGTGCGATAAGTGTAAAGCCTCTGAAGTATGCAGGGTTTGTTGCATACAGGGTTACTGGAAATAATCACAGTTATTCTGGTTAGCCTACATCGTCTTTCTGTTTGCATTCACTGCAGTCAGAATATGTGAGCAGATGGAAAATATTCTGACAGAAACATCTGTAAAAACAAATCATATTTAATGAAGAATTAAATTGTCGAAACACTCTGTACCTACTGTACGATTAACATTATTTATTGACTGATGAGTCAACACCAGACATCTGAGCTCACAATCCATCTCATGAAAACAAAAAATTCTGTGAGGTGGGAACTTAATACCCTCTACATCATAGTGAGAATCTCATCTGGTGGGTCATGACCCAAAATGTGAGGTTGCATACATCAGCATAGTGTAATGATGCATTTAATGCAAATAAGAAAAAGCAATTAACCATATAACGACGGATTTCATTTAGAGGAAACATTCATTGTATGCTTTGTTGTTTACATCAAAGGTCTCACATCGATGTATCTGCCATTGATCAGAATCTCATGCATTTAGACTACATGCTGTGTGATATACCATCTGTATTAAAAAAAAAAAAAAAAAAAAAAACATTTCACTTTCACCAATGATACAAAATGCATGCACAGTTTTTCATATTATAATTCCAACACTGTTACTGGTTTTGATAACATATTTATTGACCCATGACTGCTAAATCTGATTGGTTGAGTGTTGTATTGGTTTCATATGAAGTTAGTGGAAATAATCACAGCAATACTACAGTTAGCCTATATTAACTGTCGTGTTGCTTTCATTAGTGTTTAGGTAATAAAACACATACAATGATATTATGTATCTGATACAGAGCTGGTTGCATTTTGCAGCATTTTAGAGTAGAGGGGATCAAGAATATGGTAAGAGAGGAAGTTGAAAAAGCAGATGACAAAGCACTGTGAGTACTGCTTATCCTCTAGCAGTTCACCAAAAGAGTACATGGGTTAATTCCAACCAAAATTGCATTTAAGAACTTCACTTGCTTTCTAAAACTAACTAACTAACTAACTAACTAACTAACTAACTAACTAACTAACTAACTAACTAACTAACTAAGTAAATAAATAAATAAATAAATAAATAAATTATTACAATATAGAAACCATACCAGCACAATTACTAAACTACTATTGCCTCAAGTTTCCAATGCAATGATTCTTAAAAATCACAACTTATTCATTTAAAATGTAATAATAAAATGCTATGATGATCTATATTATTCACATATAAAGATAATTATTTACACAATACAAATTGTATATATATATATACAAAGTATATTACAAAATACATTATACATTTTTCAATTTTTCTGAAAATCAAACATGAAATTTAAGAAACAAAAAAACAAACCAAAAATAAAGTTGAGAGCATGTGTTTGTGGCTTGACATGTAACAAATTGATCTTTATCTGACACGGAATAAAATATAGTATATATCTCAGGCAATGCAGTTCAATATTCCACCCTACTTTATTAGTTTTAATTGCTGAATGCACTTACATCGTTATGGTACATTGGCAGTGCTATATATATATTTATTTATTTTATTTATTTATTTTTTATTTTTTATTTTTTTTTAGTAAAGACCACAAAACACAAAACGCACTGTAAAAAAAAATAAATAAATAAAAATCTAACTAAAGACCTTTAAATTCTTTCCGTAAAAACAAATCTTAATTTCCACCAGCAACTATTTTTTTTTGCGGAGCAAAACGATGCCAAAACGTGCTGCCTATGCAACTAACAGGATAGTTTTCAAGACACATCACATCTCTGGCGCGCGCACATGATCATCTCTGTCCACGCTGGTGGTCCTGACAACAGCTAAAACAGTGGCATGTACCTCGGTAAGTGCTGCCCGGCTGATAATGCTCCGGGTCTCCTTCCACTCGCAGCCTGAATTCACTGGTGCTCTCTCTTCTGCCTCCAGCTCCGTGCGGCTGTGCCCGCGTTATCCAGCTGCAGTAGCCGTCAGATGGAGACGTTCTGTCCGCTGGTTCCTCCGGCACACTCGCGCATACGCAGCCAGTGAACAGCAGCAGGACACCGGCTCTCCACATCTCCGATCGCTTTACTTTCATTTTTTTTTCAATTTCTTTTCAATGTGCACTTATAAGCGTGTGTCTAGAGTGTTGAACTCTAGTCTAAACTAAACTTGCATGGAATAACAGGCTCCCATATACGCAGATGCTGATATCACCGCCTTCACCGCTCTATGTTGCCATCCTGGACTGAAGAGAGAAAGAAAAGCGAGATGAGGAATCGCCCGTCTGTACGGAGTGGCACATTCACTTTGACTGGACCGACTCTAGTGCCGCTGCTTGCCTCGCGCTGACAGCTGAATGGATTCAGCCACACAACTTCAAACAAAAAGCACATGCTCAGAGCAGAGGAGCCTTTAGGATTTATGAGGATCGTAACCTTTCTCCCAAGTAATTCTCATTGACCACTTGATTTCCTATTGCAATTGGAGATGGCACATATAGTTCAGATATGCGCACACAGTGTTTGCTTTAAGATATTACGCGTGAGATTGTTTTTTGCAGTGGTGCTATAAAATAATTTTCAATCATTGGTTCTTAAAATTACTTTTTTTTTCTCTCGTAGTGTGAATTGCATTTAAAAAAATAAATAAATAAAATAAAATTCAGTATATAAATAAGCGTTGATGCTAATTATCTCTGTATAACCATTGATGTTATTAAAACAGCTTTTTTTTAGGTGTTGTGCACTTTCTATATAAATTTAAAATGTTTTTCTTGTTATAGGATTTGTTCAAAACCCAGAATCTTTTTTTATTAATTCATTAATTCATAGTACTGTATTTAAACTTTACTCTGCAAAATCTCGAAGTTTAATGTTGACTTTTATACATGCTGTACCATGCCATTAATGACAATAATAAATCAGTTCATCACTGAAAATATAATTCACAGCTATTTATATATCAAAATATTTACATTATTCTAAATTGTAAAATAAAAAAAAATTTAAAAATATATTATTTGTTTTCAAAATTAATAAATACATTTTTACGGATATAATTTTGTTTCTAAACACTGGAATGTGGACAAGAATGCTGGACCAACATTTTCCAAAATATGTAATGCAGAGCAACCTGGGGGTGGATAAATGATGACAGATTTCATTGATTGCACTATATTTTACTTCCCTTAGAAATACTTACGCAATGTATTACTCATCTATTAGTACTATATACATACATACAGTACCTGCATTTCCTAGTCTTCTTAATGTACTGCATAAAATTTGATTGATAAATCCTTACAATTAAAGACCAAATTAATAGCAGGGGTGGTGCATTGGTTAGCGCTGTTGCCTTACAGCAAGAAGGCTGCTGGTTTGAGCCTTGGCTGGGTCAGTCGGTATTTCTGTGTGGAGTTTGCATGTTCTCCCCATGTTCGTGTGGGTTTCAGACACCACTACAAATGACTGCTCCCTCAAGGTGCAATTTTGGATACAGCCATGTGTCCTGTCTCACCATGACAAAGAAAACATTGAAAAAACACACGGTTGGCATTCTTGTTTTGAATTTGCATGTTCTCCCCATGTTCGTGTGGGATTCCCCCACAGTCCAAAGAAATGCTGTATAAGTGAACTGCGTAAACAAAATTGGCCTAAGTGTACGTGTGTGTGTGTGTGAATGTGAGAGTGTTTGGGTATTTTCCAGCACTGGGTTGCAGCTTAAAGGTCATCTGCTGTGTAAATCATATGCCAGAATAGTTGGCGGATCATTCCGTTGTGACGACCCTTGATAAATAAGGGACTAAGCTGAAGGAAAATTAATGAATAAATTTAGTATGATGAAAAAGCACTGCTTTTTCCCTACGTGACCAAGACAGATAGATCAGCGGGCAGTGGACTGCTGCATAATAAAAAACTCTGTTGCTTTTGTGCCGCGTCATGTTCATCTCTTGACAGCAGTTGCTTCAGCAACTCTTTCACTTGGGCAGCTTTCAATATTACTCTGCTTCATATACCATGATCATAATTATTGGAAGCTTTAGCTTACCCATTGTAGTAATGTTCGTTTTGGATGTTAGAAGAAGAAGGCAGGGTCAGCGATAAAGGTAAAAACTTATTAAAGGTAAAAATGATTTTTTTGTCAAAAATAATGTCATACTTTCTAGGCTCATTTCTCTCTCATTCTGGTCCGCCGTCTCGCTTTTCAATCATCTCTGTGGCCCAATCACTAAGGGGAAACAGGTGTCAGTCATTGTTTGACTAACCCACTTTTTGAGCCACTGGTCTCCCAGCTTGCTTTTGTCTGTTGCAGGTAGTTCAGGCATGCCTTGCCTGCCACAGCCATGAATATGATTTATGCAGGAGACCCATAGATGTAATGAAGATAACAACTCCCATGATTCCAACGTCATCATTCTGAAAACGTACGGCTACATTTCTTGAGAATGTCAAATACGTTCCAGAAGGTACGCTGTGTATGCTTTTTCAGATCTCCAATTTCTCTCGCGAATCCCATTCGCACCAGCCGTTCTCATGTAAATCCACCAGAGGTAGCTGTCAACTGACTAAATGACTGACTGACTGACTGACCGATCGTTTGTGCCACCCTCCTCCTTCCCTAAACCCAAACAATAATGTTTTCAAAAGCAGCAATTTAACCGCCCACCCATTTCCCTAAACCTATTGTTTTGAAAAGCAATCCAGAAAAAGACCTTGCCTGATTTTTACCATATTTTTTTTAGATTTTAAAACATTCTCACCCTAGTATTTACTTGTTTATTTTATTTATTTATTTATTTATTTTTTTTTTGCTTCTGATCTTGTCTTGACTCAAACCCCATTGTCGTGGTTAATTCATCTCTGCATCTCGAGTCTGCCGACTACATACTGGACTAACTGGTATCATTGGGAAAGCTGTTTTTATGGAGTTGAGTGGTCAGCTGGTTAGCGCTAAAAGTAACGGCTTCATGCCGCCCAGTAGCGTTCATTTTAAAGACAGAACGCAGCCATACTTACTTCTGGCAACATAAATCGAGATCTCTAGAATTGTATGTAGGGGGTTATTTTCAGAACAAGCCCATGTTGACCTCTAGCAGCAAAATGAATAAATAAAAAAAATAAAATTAAAAAATAAAATAGAAAATAGAAAAAAAATAAAGAAAACACTTTTTCCAAACATTATGATTACCCAGTGGCTTAAAGTCAGCGTAATATATATATATATATATATATATATATATATATATATATATTTTTTTTTTTTTTTTTTTTTTTTTTTTTTTTTTTTTAATTACTAAATTAATTTGACCTCATAATCTATTATCAATTAGCCTTCCCTGCCTCCTCAAAACAACTTTTCTTTACTCCTCGTCATATAGAATGCCAAGGAGCTATAAAGGCATGTCTCTGTTTCTGTCCTGCTTTTGTCCAATTGTCAGTCTTCACCTATTTTGTTAGCAATGCCAATGATCAGTTTCCAAATTATAAAATCATTAAACTACATTTCGTTTCTTATTTCATGGCCATTTCAATTGAATGACATTCAAACATTAATTAATTCCCCTCTGGCTTAATCCCTTATTTATCAGGGGTAGCCATAGCGCAATGAATCGCCAACTATACCAACATATGTTTTACACGGCGAATTTCCTTCCAGCCACAACACATTACTGGGAAATGAATGTACATAATGATATGGAAAAAAAGCAATCTTAACTGCCATTTCATACCGACTTTAAAGTAATTACCTAAAAGTGATCAAAGCTCGATGCTCATAATATAATACCAGAAGCTGTCAATTGCTTTGGATTAGCAGAGTTTACTGATTTAGTTCTGCTCTCTTACCTAAACTCCCATTATATTTCTTGAAACCACCTGCATAACATAATAAACTGCATATTTTCACTGAACACTTGCACACTTCATGAACAGTTTTACATGTCTTGCTTTATATGAAAAGACTCAATCATAACAGCAGGGGTTTACATTGAAGTCTTAAATGAGATGTGCCTTTGGGTGTTTAAAGCAGAAGGTCAAAATCATAGGTAGAAAATGGTCACTTATTTCAAGATCATGACTGTATTTGATTTACACATTTCTAAGCAGACCTGAGGGAACATTATTTAATAATAATAATAATTCAAAAATGCAAATCATGACCCCTTTAAGACTTATTTAACATGCCTTTAAGGCAAATACATGTATTCTCAGTGGCTTTGTTGGCAAGGGAAGTTAATGTCTCCATAGGTAATAGCTTCATAAATACAACATTTGGAATTGTAGTAATATATTGAATCACATTACACAGGTGAGGAAATAATACTACCACTACTATTACTACTACTACTACTACTACTACTACTACTAGGGGTGTCACGATTTCGATTTTTAATCGAAATCGATCGAAATATATGCTCAATTTTGATTATCGAATCAAAAAATAGAATCGTCGATGCTGCCACGCCCCCATGTCAGCTTGGCTTGCCAAGCGGGAAAAAAACAGGCTTGTTGAAGTGCTTGTTAAACTGCAGAAGCAGGAGACCCGTCGACAGAACTTAAACCCTTTCCTGTTTCAATGAAGTTGCCGGTGTGTAAGCATTTTGGATTTCCAGTGAGTTATGTTGACAACGTTCGTGTTGTCGACAAAAAAACACAGTTTTGCAAGCTCTGCTATGTACGTATTACGTACGGTTCGTCCGATAGACAACACCGGCATCGCAATCCTCCGCCCGCCCCCGTTGCAAATCCGCTCGCGAAAAGTACACACTCAGGCCCTGTTTACACTGTTTTTGTTTTTAAATGGCATTTTAGAACGACAACGATTTGACATCCACAGTGGCGTGTAGCATTTCTGAGCAGCTCTCCTTCCTCTCTACCTCTGAAAATGCACATCACGTGACCACACAGACACAGACGCACATACAGCCTTGCGCTCAAGACAGCAGGTCCAGGCAGTCAGAGGGCTGCTTCAATCTTTCACTCACTTGTACTTAGTCATTTTAGCGCACACCTTAGATACTGTTGGCTGGTTCCTGTTGGTTGTGCCTCTTTTTTACCGACGCCATTATAATGACACAGATCACTGCCTATTCACGAGTCCCGCAGAAAAAGTGATTGACAGGTGGTAATCATGTGTGTATCTTGCCTTTATTCATTTACTGTATGATTTGTTTATGGGTAAAACAAAGACCATGCAGGTCAGGTAGTTTAAACGGTAGGCTACAAATAATTAATTGGTCATTAATTAAT